CCCGCCCGTCCTTTCCGTGCCGCCGCGGAGCTGATGGGAGACGTGAGATGAAACGCTGGTTAGTGTCTGCGGGTGGCTAAATAAAGCCCAGCTCCCCGCTTTGTCACTTGTTTGTGCCTCTCCGGACGAGGGGGTGTGAAGGAATTAGCAAATTCCGGAGTGGAAGGGCTGCTCTCCGTCGCGGTTTCTAAGAACCTTTATTAAAAGCCTGCAAATTAAAAAAAAAAAAAGGGGGGGGGGGCCCACTCCCAAACCGAGAAAAGCTTACCGTTATGGCCATCTAATTCAGTAATTTCGAGAGCAAATACTAGCAGTGCTAGGGAAAGCCGGGGCTCCTTTAGCGTGCGCTCCCCAGGCACGCCGAGCCAGCGGAGCCAGGGGAAGCGAGGCGCTGCTCCGCTGCAATTTCCAGCCATGATCCCCCAGCGGGAAATTTCCCGATGAGAAATAGCGCGTCGTAATTTCGGGGGGCCGCTCGCCGGCCCTTGCTGGGGAACGTGCCCCCGAATGGCTTTGATTTAGGAGGGAAGAAAAGTGGCACGTTTCGAGATGCTGCTGCATGTATCCCTGCTTTTCCAGCCCTACCGATCCTCACGAGCATCAAGACGACCCCGAGAGCAGGTTTATACCCCCGGCTCGGGTGTGTTGTATGTGTCTGTCTTCCTTAAACAGGCCGGGCGTGCGCTTCCGCACACTCTGCTTATTAAGAGCAACGTTTAAATGCATACAGCGAATTCCTGATCTTTCATCGTCTTAAGTACGGATGGAAATACGTTTAAAACCAAAGCTTTGCATGCAGGGACGACAGGCCGGGGGAATAACCGCCTCCCGTCCCCGAGCCGTGCGTTCAGTGCCTGGGAGGGTGGAGGGCAGAGGGGGGAGCCGGAGAGAGGCGGCCGCGGGCAGGGCCCCCTCCCCCGCCGGCGGCAGGAGGGGGCGCCGGGCCGGGGCGGGGGGGGGGGCCGGGCCGCCGGCGGCAGTAGGGCGCTCGGTGCCGGGCAGGGGGGGCTGCCCGAGGGCACACGGGGCATCGCCTCTCTCTTCCCTTCCCCTCGGGATTTGTGTGCGGAAGGAGGGGAGGAGGGGTTCTCCCTCCCCCCCTACCCGGCTGGTTGTTTCCAGTTGGCTTTACTGGGAGGCGAAGGGGAGAAACCCAACAGGCCGAGGGGGCGGCCCGGCACCGCATCTTCAATTCTGTGGGCAGCAAGACTGGGGGAAAGCGCCCCTTCCAGCATGCTGGACCCGATGCGGGGGGGACGACCCGCGTCCGAGGTCCTGGGGCTTGAAATAGAGGTGGGGCCTCTGCTCCCGGGGCAGTGGGAGCCGCGCCGCCCGCGCTCCCCCGGGAGTCGCCCCCGAAATCTGCCGCCGCGGGTCCAGCGCCCCGGGCCGGCACCGAGGCATCACCCCCGTAAGGCTCAAGGGGGTTTACTTTTTCCAGCCCGCGGTGGCGGGGGGACACAGGCCTGAGACCCCTCCAGCGTGCATGCTAGGCCCGGGGTAGCTGCAGCCAGCGTGATCAGAAACGTTGTCCAGCTATAAACCTGGCTCCCAGCTCTGTCTAGACTGGAGGGGAAGAGAGAGAGAGGGCTGTGTTTCTAAAAACTCCGGTGGATGGCTTCCCCCACCCGCTTTATTTCCAGAGTGAGCTGACACATAGTTTAGGCAAAGTTTGAGACCCTCACCAAGATGTCTGGTCCCAGCGCTTCGACAGGGCTTGTAAGGGGGCTCAGACAGGCTCCCCCTGCTCACCCCGGCCAGGGTTTTCCCGAAGATGCACATTTTGGACGGAACTCACAGATCCCCCCGCCGAGGCGCCCGATCAGGCTCAAAGAAGTGAGAGTGAAAGGAGATTTATATTCCAGCTCCTTTCTCCCCTCAAAGTGCAAGCCCTGGAAGGCACAATTCCATGCTCCGCTATCACGGATTTTGCCGTGCGGTTGCGCTCTGACCTTCAGATTCATGAATTAAAGTCCAGGAGACAGCAACCTACAGCCTCCCCCGGGCTCCCGCTCTGTAAGATCGTCGTCTCTTGTGTTTTGATATTTTGCCAAGGCATTTATTACTGTAGAACAAAAATACACCACGGGACTGCTTCTGTCTTGACTGTCAGTATTTTTTTTTTTTTTTTTTTTTTAGCCGGAAAACGAGCAAATGAAAGAAAGAGACGCGAGAAGGAATTGCGTTTAAAAACCGCGATTCTCTGCCCCCCGGTTATGGCAGACTGGTTAAATCGTTACCTTCTCCCTCCCCCATCCCCGAGGGGGTTTCCAAAAGTGGCGATGAAACTGCACATTTATGGATGTTTAAAGCGGATGGAAACGACGTGATTAATAAGGGACCCAAACGATAATGTGCGTTATACAAAATAATCTGAATAAAATGACTCAGCGGTAGAGCTTAGACCTGTTCCTTATTCCGAGACGCAGACAATAGAATTTACTAGAAGCATACAGAGTTTTCGGTCCCTATTTAAACCTGGCCGTGAATGTATATTTTAAGAAAATCAAGGCGAATTGCAGCTATTTCATCTAATTTTCATAGGCACTCGGAAGAGGTTCATTAATGAATCAAATAAATAAATAAAGCCCGACTCGGCGGCGTGAGTAATCCCTCTACGAAACCTCCCCTGTATTGTAACAGCCGCTAATAGTGGCATTAAAGGTCTTACTAAAAGAGAAGTGCCATTAGGGCTTCCCTGGAGCTGCGCGGCCGTTCCCAGGCGGCGGGAGCCGGGAG